TTTACTGTATGATTTTTACAGTCTTTTACCGTTAAATTCACGGTCATTTTTTACAGTGTACGAGAATACTTTTTGTACGCAAAGAAAACAAAAATAAGGACTTTATTCAACAATTTGTCTCCTCCGCGTCACCCTGGTGCCATTTTGGAGAATATCCACTGACCGCAAACAGCGTATGCTATTCTGTGTCAGCTGCGTCACGCGGAGGAGACAAATTGTTGAATAAAGTCGTTATTTTTGTTTTCTTTGCGTACAAAAACTTTTCTCGTAGCTTCGTAAAATTACGGTTGAACCCCTGATGTCACATGGATTATTTTACAGATCTCCTTGCTACGTTTCTGGACCTTGATCGTGGTAATTACAATGCTGTCGATGGGAGGGTCAGAGAGCTCTCAGAATTCATCAAAAATATCTTAATTTGTGTACCGAAGATGAACGGAGGTCTTACGGGTTTAGAACGACATGAGGGTGAGTAATTAATGACAGAATTTAAATTTTTGGGTGAACTATCCCTTTAAGAGTTTTGCTAATTATATAATAATAATTAAGACAAATTATATTTTACAATAAAATAAATTTTTAATGAAATCAGAGATTTCTGTCCCTTCATTGCAATTCAGCTCCACCAAAATGTTCACATATGGTCAATAGCAGCTCAAAAGTACTTCTCTAAAGCACAAGAACAAACTGGAAGCACAGGAATCATTCAGGTTTCATTCAAAAATATTTTATTTGTGTTTATAAAATCTTATGGGTTTGTAACTACATGAGGCTAAGTAATTGATGATAGAATATTCATTTTTTGGTGAACTAACCCTATAAAAGTCAGTTCTAGATGATGATCTAAATCTTAAAATAGGCAGAAACAATTAAGCATCCGATATCAGTTTAAAATCACCAATACTGGCTGATTATTAATATGATGCCAATATATCGTGCATCCCTAATCTAAACAGCATTAGGGTTGAGCTGCCATAACATACTTTGTCATATTAACAGTAAATACAGAAAACCGCTTTTAGAGCCCCACTGTTACTATTGAAAACTTTGAGATGGACTATATGTGACAGTAGGGGACCTCACCCAGCTGGGCAGGACGGAACTAAGGCAGATTGTTCCTCAGCATGCCCAGTGAGATGAGTCCATTCTCAGGTAAGTCACTCTAGAGGAGGGGGGGCCGTCTTTAGAGACAGCAGGCAAGGATGAGATCCTAAAATAGACCGTTGCATGTTGTGCTGCTGGAAACGGTCCCACACATTACCCTGCTGGCTCTTAGCAAAGTCAATGAAGATTTCACTCAAAGAAGAGTCTTTATAAAGCTCTGAGGAGCTGTGGGTGGTTTGGATTTGCAGTCCAAATCTGTAGACTTGTATGATTAGGAGAAACTGAGATTTAACTGTTCGTACTCTGGATTTGGACTCTGTAATCGCTCTGAATTGTGTGATTTATACAGATTCAGCAAACTCTCCATCAGGGAATCAACCAAACAACTGATATGTAGTTACAAACAGAAAAAAAATACTAAAGCAAGCATAATAAAACAAATGAAATATTAAAATGAAAGTCAATGGAAATGGAACTGACTTCACAGTGAGAAAGACAACATGGAGGATGAATGGGAAAAAAGGCATGAAAGTCTCAAAGCGGGTTCTTACGTTATTCGAGCGCAGTGACACTCTTCCCCCACAGCGGGCGCAGAACTTGGTCTGGCAGTAGGAACACAGATGCCCACAGCCATCTGCAAACTTGGTCTTACGGCAGATGCCACAGGTAGGTGCATCATCTTTATGGACAGCCTGCTGTTGTTTCGTTTCTACCCCAATCTTCCTCACCTGCTCCTTATAACTCTCAAACTGCTGGTGCAGTGTCCTGACAAACAGAAAATAAAAAGGGGAGAAAGAGAGAGAAAAAGGGGAAGCATTTGTTAGTTTGTTTGTATTGTTAGAAAAACAACCAGTGTTGTTACTGTTAACTAAAACTAAAACCTATTAGCACAGTTGTGAAGTATTGCAGATGATCAACTAAAAAATGTATTTTCCAGATCAAAATGAACACATCTTGGTGACGCAGATGAAATGGCTGGGTGAAGGACAGCATTTAGCATATGTACAAACATCATATTAAATCCAAAATTCAATCTCAGATTTTCTTTCAAGCTGTACATATGAAATACTTCATCTGAATTGGAACCTAACTCCACTTTGTTTGTCTTCTCCCTTCACTGGAATGAAAATAAACTGTTAATGAATTGCCAATGAGGCGCTGCTGTCTGCTTTAAAAAGAAGCATTCCAATAACATTTCTCAAAGGAACAGCACATTAGCATAACAGTTCCCTTATAGCAAGTGGTTAGCAGCTCTAATGACCACAGTAAAGACATTAAGCCATTTAAAATAGACACAGCTCATTGTAAATTGTGAATTCATTGCACACATTTCTCTGTAAAAGTTGCCTCCAACACTCTAGGCTGACAGGTAACCAAAATGTTCATCCTCCCCTTCTACCCATCGTCCCACCATTTGTTCAACCCTATCACAACGCTTGTCATATGAAAATGTACATTGGTTACACTGCAGTAAAAATCATTCTTCAAGAAAATAAAACTGCAAAAGCAAATGCAAAGCATCACCTCTGTTTGTGGCGAACAGCCATGATCTGCAATTTCCTTTCAAAATCCCAAACCTGCATAAAACAGCGACTCCAGAATCCACTGAAACTAGCTAACAAAAGCACTTTTCCTACGACTTCTGCTCTCCATGACTGTAAATGCTAGCGTTCTCTCTAGCTTGACCACATTTGCAGTTTCCCTTCTGGAATCAGACAGCAGACTGCAGTCCCAGGTATCTGGATGGAGGTTGTGACTTTGGGGAGTCTTGGCCAGTGATGCTATATTACGCAGTCAGGATGAAGCATTACGTGGGAAGTCGAAGGCGTGGCGACAAGGATGAATCATTGGCAGAGCAATCAAAGAAAAGAAAAGTGACCTCTTTAAGGTTATGGGTGGATGTGCTTAAGGAGATTTATGGACATTTTACGTGCATTTACACACACATATCAAATCAGGTTGGCAAAAAGATCTTCTAAATAAGACGAGACAAAAATGTTTATGCATTTCCAGAAGAATGAGGATTATAAACATGAAGTCATTATTCAGGAAAGTAATACAATCACTAGATGATAAACTAGTTTACTAGAGATACACTTGAAGATATATACCTCTGAGAACATTGTTGAGGTGGAGAATTTGCTTTCGGGTCAGTGTTCTCAGCTGGGAACAGCTGTCATAGCAAGGGACCAGGTCTCCAGCCATCATGGAAACACAAGAAAGCCAGCTCTACACCTCTTAAAGAAACAGTTCACCTAAAAATGGAAATTCTGCCATCATTTACTCACCCTCATGTCACTGTCATTTCGAACCCTTATAACATTCTTCCATATATATATATATATACTTTTTGCACTTTGTTTTAAATAAAACAAACAAAACCTTGTATTACAATTTTCCTTTCCTCTGAAAAACTAAAAATGATAGAATAACAGTCACGAGAAGCTAATAAGAATCACCATTGAGACCAATCAGAATGACAAAAAAAACTGTCTGAGTAACACTGATCATTTTCCCATCTAGTGATCTGTTAACCTCTGAGACCAGATAATTGAGACAGTGAGTTGAACTCGAGAGCCAGATCAGTTCATAAAGCATCATTGATAGGCCAATTATTGAAAAGAACTGACTCAGACTGATTCGTTCACGAATCAGATTCACTGTAAATTATACGGTCTTTTTCACTTCCAAAAATGGTATACTACTGTAAAATTAATGTCCAATACATGTAATGTCCAATACAGTTTTTCACCGTATATAGTAGGGAAATTTACCGTAAACCATTTAACAGGTTTTTACTGTATGATTTTTACAGTCTTTTACCGTTAAATTCACGGTCATTTTTTACAGTGTACGAGAATACTTTTTGTACGCAAAGAAAACAAAAATAAGGACTTTATTCAACAATTTGTCTCCTCCGCGTCACCCTGGTGCCATTTTGGAGAATATCCACTGAACGCAAACAGCGTATGCTATTCTGTGTCAGCTGCGTCACGCGGAGGAGACAAATTGTTGAATAAAGTCGTTATTTTTGTTTTCTTTGCGTACAAAAACTTTTCTCGTAGCTTCGTAAAATTACGGTTGAACCCCTGATGTCACATGGATTATTTTACAGATCTCCTTGCTACGTTTCTGGACCTTGATCGTGGTAATTACAATGCTGTCGATGGGAGGGTCAGAGAGCTCTCAGAATTCATCAAAAATATCTTAATTTGTGTACCGAAGATGAACGGAGGTCTTACGGGTTTAGAACGACATGAGGGTGAGTAATTAATGACAGAATTTAAATTTTTGGGTGAACTATCCCTTTAAGAGTTTTGCTAATTATATAATAATAATTAAGACAAATTATATTTTACAATAAAATAAATTTTTAATGAAATCAGAGATTTCTGTCCCTTCATTGCAATTCAGCTCCACCAAAATGTTCACATATGGTCAATAGCAGCTCAAAAGTACTTCTCTAAAGCACAAGAACAAACTGGAAGCACAGGAATCATTCAGGTTTCATTCAAAAATATTTTATTTGTGTTTATAAAATCTTATGGGTTTGTAACTACATGAGGCTAAGTAATTGATGATAGAATATTCATTTTTTGGTGAACTAACCCTATAAAAGTCAGTTCTAGATGATGATCTAAATCTTAAAATAGGCAGAAACAATTAAGCATCCGATATCAGTTTAAAATCACCAATACTGGCTGATTATTAATATGATGCCAATATATCGTGCATCCCTAATCTAAACAGCATTAGGGTTGAGCTGCCATAACATACTTTGTCATATTAACAGTAAATACAGAAAACCGCTTTTAGAGCCCCACTGTTACTATTGAAAACTTTGAGATGGACTATATGTGACAGTAGGGGACCTCACCCAGCTGGGCAGGACGGAACTAAGGCAGATTGTTCCTCAGCATGCCCAGTGAGATGAGCCCATTCTCAGGTAAGTCACTCTAGAGGAGGGGGGGCCGTCTTTAGAGACAGCAGGCAAGGATGAGATCCTAAAATAGACCGTTGCATGTTGTGCTGCTGGAAACGGTCCCACACATTACCCTGCTGGCTCTTAGCAAAGTCAATGAAGATTTCACTCAAAGAAGAGTCTTTATAAAGCTCTGAGGAGCTGTGGGTGGTTTGGATTTGCAGTCCAAATCTGTAGACTTGTATGATTAGGAGAAACTGAGATTTAACTGTTCGTACTCTGGATTTGGACTCTGTAATCGCTCTGAATTGTGTGATTTATACAGATTCAGCAAACTCTCCATCAGGGAATCAACCAAACAACTGATATGTAGTTACAAACAGAAAAAAAATACTAAAGCAAGCATAATAAAACAAATGAAATATTAAAATGAAAGTCAATGGAAATGGAACTGACTTCACAGTGAGAAAGACAACATGGAGGATGAATGGGAAAAAAGGCATGAAAGTCTCAAAGCGGGTTCTTACGTTATTCGAGCGCAGCGACACTCTTCCCCCACAGCGGGCGCAGAACTTGGTCTGGCAGTAGGAACACAGATGCCCACAGCCATCTGCAAACTTGGTCTTACGGCAGATGCCACAGGTAGGTGCATCATCTTTATGGACAGCCTGCTGTTGTTTCGTTTCTACCCCAATCTTCCTCACCTGCTCCTTATAACTCTCAAACTGCTGGTGCAGTGTCCTGACAAACAGAAAATAAAAAGGGGAGAAAGAGAGAGAAAAAGGGGAAGCATTTGTTAGTTTGTTTGTATTGTTAGAAAAACAACCAGTGTTGTTACTGTTAACTAAAACTAAAACCTATTAGCACAGTTGTGAAGTATTGCAGATGATCAACTAAAAAATGTATTTTCCAGATCAAAATGAACACATCTTGGTGACGCAGATGAAATGGCTGGGTGAAGGACAGCATTTAGCATATGTACAAACATCATATTAAATCCAAAATTCAATCTCAGATTTTCTTTCAAGCTGTACATATGAAATACTTCATCTGAATTGGAACCTAACTCCACTTTGTTTGTCTTCTCCCTTCACTGGAATGAAAATAAACTGTTAATGAATTGCCAATGAGGCGCTGCTGTCTGCTTTAAAAAGAAGCATTCCAATAACATTTCTCAAAGGAACAGCACATTAGCATAACAGTTCCCTTATAGCAAGTGGTTAGCAGCTCTAATGACCACAGTAAAGACATTAAGCCATTTAAAATAGACACAGCTCATTGTAAATTGTGAATTCATTGCACACATTTCTCTGTAAAAGTTGCCTCCAACACTCTAGGCTGACAGGTAACCAAAATGTTCATCCTCCCCTTCTACCCATCGTCCCACCATTTGTTCAACCCTATCACAACGCTTGTCATATGAAAATGTACATTGGTTACACTGCAGTAAAAATCATTCTTCAAGAAAATAAAACTGCAAAAGCAAATGCAAAGCATCACCTCTGTTTGTGGCGAACAGCCATGATCTGCAATTTCCTTTCAAAATCCCAAACCTGCATAAAACAGCGACTCCAGAATCCACTGAAACTAGCTAACAAAAGCACTTTTCCTACGACTTCTGCTCTCCATGACTGTAAATGCTAGCGTTCTCTCTAGCTTGACCACATTTGCAGTTTCCCTTCTGGAATCAGACAGCAGACTGCAGTCCCAGGTATCTGGATGGAGGTTGTGACTTTGGGGAGTCTTGGCCAGTGATGCTATATTACGCAGTCAGGATGAAGCATTACGTGGGAAGTCGAAGGCGTGGCGACAAGGATGAATCATTGGCAGAGCAATCAAAGAAAAGAAAAGTGACCTCTTTAAGGTTATGGGTGGATGTGCTTAAGGAGATTTATGGACATTTTACGTGCATTTACACACACATATCAAATCAGGTTGGCAAAAAGATCTTCTAAATAAGACGAGACAAAAATGTTTATGCATTTCCAGAAGAATGAGGATTATAAACATGAAGTCATTATTCAGGAAAGTAATACAATCACTAGATGATAAACTAGTTTACTAGAGATACACTTGAAGATATATACCTCTGAGAACATTGTTGAGGTGGAGAATTTGCTTTCGGGTCAGTGTTCTCAGCTGGGAACAGCTGTCATAGCAAGGGACCAGGTCTCCAGCCATCATGGAAACACAAGAAAGCCAGCTCTACACCTCTTAAAGAAACAGTTCACCTAAAAATGGAAATTCTGCCATCATTTACTCACCCTCATGTCACTGTCATTTCGAACCCTTATAACATTCTTCCATATATATATATATATATATATATACTTTTTGCACTTTGTTTTAAATAAAACAAACAAAACCTTGTATTACAATTTTCCTTTCCTCTGAAAAACTAAAAATGATAGAATAACAGTCACGAGAAGCTAATAAGAATCACCATTGAGACCAATCAGAATGACAAAAAAAACTGTCTGAGTAACACTGATCATTTTCCCATCTAGTGATCTGTTAACCTCTGAGACCAGATAATTGAGACAGTGAGTTGAACTCGAGAGCCAGATCAGTTCATAAAGCATCATTGATAGGCCAATTATTGAAAAGAACTGACTCAGACTGATTCGTTCACGAATCAGACATCACTACTTCTCGTAGTGATAAAAAGAAAAAATCACCCTTTGTGTTCTAGGAAAAAAAGAAAGTCACAAGTTTGAAACAACATAATGGTGAGTCACTAATGAAGAGACTTTTTTTTCTCCAAGATGCTCAGGCATAACTATTAGAGACTGGAACTATAGACTGGAACTACAGAACTAAGAACTATAAATCTTAATAAAAATGTACCAACAAATTTTCAGGTTTAAATTACATCCTGAATTGTTCTGTGATTCAAAGATTCAAAGTTAAAAGGGTTGCTGATAATGGCTAAATCTAGATCCAGTGATTCACTAGAGTACTTGGCTGGTCATTGGACCAAAATAGAAACACCAATACAAGCGGACATCAATAGATTTCTTTTAGAACAGACTGAGGTTAGCTCTGAGGGTTGAACTTCGGTCTCTCTACACCTTCATGAAAGGCAAAACAAGTCCTAAAATAACTGTTTAAAGGGATAGTTCACCCAAAAATGAAAATTCTGTCATCATTTACTCAACCTCAGGTTGTTCCAAACCTTGTATAAGTTCTGTTCCTCTGCTGAACACAAAAGAGTTTGAAGAATGTGGGTGACCAAACAGTTCCTGGTCCCTATTGATTTCCATAGTATGGGGAAAAGAAATAGCGTAGAATGGGGCCAGAAACTTTTTGGACACCCACATTCTTCAAAATATCTTCTTTTGTGTTCAGCAGAAGAAAGAAACTCACACAGGGTTGGAACAACTTGATGGTGAGTAAATGATGACAGAATTTTTTTGGGTGAACTACTAATTTTACTCCAAGGCAGCCTCTGATGATATTACTGTGAGGTATACTTATAACTTTTTAACTTGTAACTTAGCTGTGCTAAATCCCAGGAGCAGACCAAAAAATTTGATGTATTTGGGACTCCAAAAGACAAGAACATTCTTTTAAAGGGGTCATATGATGCTGCTAAAAAGAACATTATTTTGTGTTTATTATTTGGTGTAATGAAATGTGTTTATGCGGTTTAAGGTTAAAAAAACACATTATTTTCCACATACTGTACATTATTGTTTCTCCTCTATGCCCCGCCTTTCTGAAACGTGTCGATTTTTACAAAGGTCATCGGTCTGAAAAAGCGAGGTGTGCTGTGATTGGCCGAATACTTCAAGCGTGAGACAGAAATGTTATGCCCCTCATCATATTGTGATGATGCCCTGTCAGGCCGGAGCGATGATTCAAAAACATGAAAACCCATTATCATCAGGAAACCTTTGAGAACTTTGAGCTTTCCTTCAGCTTTGTTGTGTTACAGAAAATTCCATGTGGGATCAGAGAACACGGATGACCTCATTCTGCCAATAAAGTAAGACACAACATAGGGACACCCAAATTCTTGACTGAAATATAGTAAACTTTTGTTTCTGTGTATGAAGAAAATCAGATTTCAGTGAAAATAGTAATAATTCCAGTGCTCAAATTTGATTAGCTAAGTGGCATTTTAATAGTGGTAGGATACAGTCCAATAGCACTGGGACTTTTCATTGTTTGTATCAATCCACTTCTGTTTTACATGTTCCAGATAGACTCTTAGAGACAGATTTACTAACAGCTTGCGTCAGCGCAAACCCTCTTTTGCCATTGAAAAAAATACTGTCCGGATTTAATAAAGACACACAGTGAAAAATTAGCAATGAAATGGACACAGTCATTTTTACGTCTGACCTTATTGCATGCATTTGTTGGAGTTTCCCTTTCAGATGCAAAATTTATGGGAGAAAAGTATTTAAATGAATCATGCAACATGATTTAATAAGGTTTGTGCTAATCAATTTACTTATTGAATCACTCACTAAAACAAATCATTCATACTTACTAGGGCTGCATCGTTCACTCAACTGATTAATTCAAAACACTGATTCTGTTATATATTCCCTGTATTGGTGTTTGGACTTTTGTTGAAGCATTTTCCCTGTTCATATTGTGTCTGTTAGTTCCCCTTGTGTTAGCCTTGTCTTTGTAGCTCCCTTGTTAGTTCCCATGCTTACCCTTGTGTGTTCCCTAGACAACTGACCACACCCTCTCGTTAGCTTGTTAGCCCCTGTGTATTATAGTCCTGGTGTTTCACTTGTGAAACACTAGAGTAGGTCAGTCAGTGTTTATGCTTGTGTTTGAAGTTCCTTGTTCCCTGTGTTTTTGTGGATGTTTTTCTGTCTCTCTATAAACTACTCCTTGCACTCAGATCCTCGCCTTTGACTGCTTTCTCCGTACGTTACAGATTCATTTGGGAATGGTACTACTATGTGAACTCATAGATGTGGAATGGATTGACTTTGCTTGGAACCATTTTTTTTTTCTGGTGAATCAAAAATAGACATGCTACAGTAACGGGCAATACTGTGTCTCTACTGTATTACTTAATATAAACTGATTGTTTAACCATTTTATATAAGCAATATCACATTCACAATAGTGTGAAAACTATTACTTGTGTAATATTGGTTCATTAAAAGACAAAAGCTAGACTAATTTGTATAACTGTGAAAAAGGAAAATCCCCTGTAGTTTTTGCGGATTTTCTTTACAGCTCCTCATTGCTCTAGTTTTCCTGCTCCATGCATGGCTTTAAGCCCTCTACTGTACACACTGTACGATTTTAGAAATCCTATAAGATCATTGCAAATCACACTGTGCGACATGGATCTGATAAACTTGGGTACGACATGTATGCAGACTGTACGATGATGACACCTAGTGACTCGTAGGCTATGATGCACATTGCTATAGAAGAATAAAATGTCATCTGCATGCGCTAGTGGTAAACAAAAAGAGCATGATGAATCACACTTTGGCAGTTGTAGTTTTTATGTGTGCTGAAAAAAAAGTGGAATCGGCGAAAGGGGAAGGGATAAGAGTTTGAGGTAGGCCTAAGCAGTTTTATGTTTTAGCGCCATGTCGCGTTGATTTCATGTTGGATTTTTATTGGCCGGTCAGTAGACTTAAGTCGTAGCAGCAAACACACTGTGCGATGATCATGCTGAATTTTCTGACACTGATCGTAGGCTATCTTTGGTTGCAAGACCATGACAACGGCCGTCTTTTAACCTCTCTCACTGTACG